TAAAATTGTCTTTAAAACTTCATTAAATGCCGTTTTATTGTTAAAAAAACATTTTTACAACATTAAAATTTTTGGCTGCTAGGCCGCCAGGCCGCTGGGCCGCCAACTTCACAAAAATGACAAAATTAAAAAAATCTCTGAAAGTGATTTTTTCTTTAGATATATCGTTTAAATAACAATAATTATCTTTAAAACTTCATTAAATGCCGTTTTATTGTTAAAAAAACATTTTTACAACATTAAAATTTTTGGCTGCTAGGCCGCCAGGCCGCTGGGCCGCCAACTTCACAAAAATGACAAACTTAAAAAAATCTCTGAAAGTGATTTTTTCTTTAGATATATCGTTTAAATAACAATAATTATCTTTAAAACTTCATTAAATGCCGTTTTATTGTTAAAAAAACATTTTTACAACATTAAAATTTTTGGCTGCTAGGCCGCCAGGTATCGTTTAAATAACAATAATTATCTTTAAAACTTCATTAAATGCCGTTTTATTGTTAAAAAAACATTTTTACAACATTAAAATTTTTGGCCGCCAGGCCGCCAAGCCGCTGGGCCGCCAACTTCACGCCGCTAGGCCGCCAGGCCGCTGGGCCGCCAACTTCAAGCCGCTAGGCCGCCAGGCCGCTGGGCCGCCAACTTCACGCCGCTAGGCCGCCAGGCCGCCAACTTCACGCCGCCAGGCCGCTGGGCCGCCAACTTCACACATCTCGTAAAATAGCTCCCTCTCAAAATACAATAAACTTGCATGTCTTGTTGTTCGTACTGGCCCAGACTCGGCCATGTTATGCTTGTAAAATTATCGTTGTGATGCCTGTGAGAGATTCTGTTTTATCTAAGCATTTCTCTATTACTAACAGTCGCTTAACTAAAATCTAATTAACAGTTTAAATGACACTAATTTGATCAAAATTGATTGAACGATTGATCAACGTCTTTTTTTTTTGGCAGGGTTCAGAAATGACCGATATTCAGCCCTCAACATTGAAAGATGAAAAATGGTATGAACCCTGTTCTGAAGCATATATACATTACTTCGTACTGACAACTCAACTATCGTGGATAGCAGTGAGTGTCTGATATTTTACAATTGTTACTTTGAATTGAAAAGTATATTGTAAAAATAATCCTACTTTCAAAGATAAAGTTAAGACATATTGAAATGCCATCGTTAAGCACATTTGCAAATTTGTTGAAACAATATTTAACGCATGTGTTCGTTAAATGCGTTCGAGAAAAAAGGTATGACAAATATGTGTCTTAAACTTACACAACACTTATTAAAGAATTAGTGATAGTGGAAGATGCAAAAATTAGATAAAAAGTTCGTAAGACTTGACAAAATGTGACTGATTCTCTCATGAAATGTTTAGTCTTTTGTAGCTCTCATAAAGGTCTTAAAATGTGTTTTGGGTACACTTTTGCATGACCATAAGCAGTACTTTAACAAGGGTAAAGACAGCACTAGATTACTTTGTTGTTAATAAAATACAGGTAAAATGTCAAGAAAACATAAATAATGAGTTACATGAATTTTGAAATCACCCATCGTATTCACAAAACACAAAGTATATCTCTTAAAGTTATATTTCTCTTTCATTATTATCTGAATTTTTACATATTTTATACCCTCATATTTAAACTAATGAACATATCTAATAAAAACAAAATATGAAACGGGGCAATGCCATGGAACAAGGTTTTCAACAGAAGGCATAATATTATTAGCTCTTTACTAATAACCAAAGTTTTTTATTGTGTTTTTTTTTTTGGTATTTAAATTTCAAGTGTATTAGTAAATATAACCTTTTGTTGATGCTGATGCTGATGCTCAACATCTGGCTTTTCTATGGTAGCAAAAGGAAACAGCTCAAGCAAACGAAAAAACTCTTTTCGTGATTCTGCGATGGTTGCGATGAATTGTATAGCCTTGAAATCCACATGGTCGTCAACCTTAAGGAACGCAATAAATATATTAGTCTGTTCAAAGTTGTTTTTGATCTTTAGAAAATATATTTTAAAGATTCAACATATAAGCCTGAAGTTTGGGCATTTAAACGAATCATAAACTTACTTTGCAGAAAGTAAAATCTATCTTGTACAGTATTTAAGCTATCCTTTTTTAAAGCAATAATATTGAATTATGTTATAGAAACAATGCGGGATTTTTTCCACTAAAATGTAACTGATATTGTTAAATGATCATTTACAAGTGGCTTTATCCAACTGTTCTCTTCTTCCTTTTGGTTGACCTGAAAACAGTGAAAATAAGCAAATTTATATGATTAGCGTATATAATTTCAACATATGACATTTTCAACAATAAGTTGATAAAACTACCATTATGTAATACAAGTTCATGGGAGTTTTTGCATTTCGGCATTTTACTTGCCCTATGATTCTAGGCTTACATTCAACTCGCAAGCACGCTATGTTAGACTTGTTCGATGTACATTGTATTTTATGTACAATTTTATGAGTACTGTATTCTCTATTTTTTATTTTCATTTATTTAATCTTATTTTTGTGCGATTGCCAATTTATATTAAGAAGCAATAAAATTTCCTTTTACATATTCATAATATCTAATTAAACTAAAGAAAGCGTAAATTACAGTACTTATGCTATAGTGAAGTTACAGGACTTTGATGAAACATATGATGATAAAACTGAAAGTTGATACAGAAAATAAGGACATTAAATTATTAAATCTCCTTTATGTCTGCATGCAAACCGGTTTCGTTTTTTATTTAATAATATTTTACATGTAAATTAGTAATTGTTTATTACAGTGAAAATAGTTTAAAATAAATGAATTTTGTCGAAAATCATTTAAAACCAAAGATGTCTAAAATATTCACTACAATTATACATACTATCGATTGTAAACTGTCCCGCTCATTTTCGAGTTCCTTTACTCTTTCTTTCAGTTTGTTATTTTCTTCTTGAAGTTCTGATAAAACATCAGGTTCATCTTCTGTTATACTTTCCTAGGCAAGATAATACAAAACAAACTACAATATTTATATCTTAATATTTATGTTACATACACTTCTCTGAGCATTAAACTGACTTGGCATTAAGGATACTAGTACATTTTGATCAATAATCATGATCAATCTCCAAAATGCTTCAGAAATCTGTGGTCCATAAAAATGGTTTGCAGTTATGAAAGCAACTGCCAGCAACGATATGCTTTCGCTGTAAAACTTTTTTTGGATAAGAATTGACTGGTAGGATGTCCTATTTACCGAGTATATCGGTACTGCCTTGACTTTATGGATCATCGTGCTCAAACATGTCAAATGTCATTTTCCAGGGATGACCGGTAGGACAGAGACTCAAAATTAAGCTGTGCGGGAATCATCTGAGATGGTCAAGTATAATAAAAGATATGTTCAATATACATGTACCTTTTTACAACACAACATTCCATAGTAACATATGTTTATTTTTCACATCGAAATAGATGAATACAACGGTTAACAGCAAAGCAACGGATCACATGCTCGTTATTAATCTTAACCAAATCTTTATCAATAATTTATGTTTCCTGCAAAATTTGACTTTTTCACAATGATAAAACAAACCGTCTTGATACCCATTCAAATTCTTAATAAACCCTGAGATCTCTTACCGTATATAAAGATTTATAATTCAAATATATGTGAAGAAATGAAACTGATATAAATCTGGCACACAGCAAAATATATGTAGAAAAATACACTATGTTAATATATGTAGAAAAATACACTATGTTATGGTGTCCTATTCGTCCCCAAAATTTCGCTAGAAAACGCGCGATAATAATCGCCTCAAAATGGCGAAATTTAGTACTTAATTTCGCATGTCTTAAATTTCGTTAGTCTCTCAAGCGATAATTATCGCCCTTTCTATAGACAAAGGACACTTTTACTAGCGAAAATATTTAATATCATCGGGGTGATCCGGGAAGTATAGCTCTGCCTTGCTGATTCGGAGCTCACCCTGGGTGGTTAGTAAGGAATTACCGTAGTGTTGCCGGGGTAAGTGTGACCGCAACAATAATTCCACCCCGGATCTTCCCGGATCATCTCGGTTACTTACCGAGATGGTCCTGGGCTCTGCCGGGAGTCAGTGAGACCGCAGCTTAATTTATTTCTCTCATTTTATGTACAAGCATGACAAACATGAATAAAAGTACAATGAGGCTCAAACAGCGAAAAATATAATGGTTAATAATTTGAAATTACATTTAGATTTGTATACTTTCCAGTTTCACGTACATGGAGAGCAAAAACTGTTGTATATGTATATTGCTAAAACATATTAACTAATAGAACAAGCTGGTAGTAGTGTTTAATTTTGTTTCTTAATTTTTCTTTCTTTCTTGGTATTTTACCAATGTGATTCGATTTAAACAAAAAATTATCACTGGACGGACTTACAGTGAAAAATGTAGTTAAATTGGTTGGTTTTGGAGAGAAAAGAAAAGAAAAAAAGAAGAAAAAAATGAAGTAAAGGGGGAAAATAATACACGTGAAAGTATTTAATTGACGATTACTGCTCAATAGTCATAATAACAATCAACATTTTTTTACATATTCATATCACAATATCATGAAGCGAAAATAGTTTGAAACAAAATGAATATACTACATGTACTAGTATTCCCGTTAACATAATGCATGCGCATCATTTTCAAGTGATACATGGAGAAGTCTAATGATTAACAATAACAAACAATATAGGGTATAGAATAGAAATTCCATGGTTACTTGAATGATCTCAATTTTATGAAGTGCGAATGGCAGACGAGGGGAGATAACAAAATAGCTTTACATAGTAGATTTACTTCCCTTTAGTTAAAGTTGCCTAATGTTCAAGTGTTTTTATGCAAAGTGAATTGAATATAACTTATGATGTATTTTAGAGAATTTTTTTCAGATCGGCGCCCTTTAACGCGATAATAATCGCGTGAATAACATACAACATGAATTTAAGACGTTAATTATCGAGGTTCGCTAATATACGTTTCCCTGTTCTCAATAAAGGCGCCCGAGTGACTAGCGAAATTAAAACATGCGAAATTTAGTGCTAAATTTTGCCCTTTTGGGGCGATAATTATCGCGTGTTTTGTGGACTAAATAGGACACCGTACTTTGTATCTTTAATAGTTTTATATGCAGATATTAAAATGTTCGAGAATTCAGGTAAACTTACTTCTACTTGAAGCAATAGTTTTCTGGTTTTTGGCAAAGCTTTGTCTGAAATCGAGCCTTCGCTTTTTGCAATTTGTTTTTCTAAGGTGGCGACCTTTATCTCCAAATATTTTTTGACAAGTAGTGTGTACACGTCCATTGGGTATTCTTCCTGTAAGTCTATTCCCTTCAGCTATTAACAAATATGAATTACAATACTTGGTTTCTAAAGGAAAGAAATTAAGGCAAAATACAACCCGAGGAAAAATATATAACTATTTTGCAGGAATTATATCAATTTATGAAAAAAGGGATTGTATTTACGTTATCAGCTTATCAAGGGGCAATTCTTTCACAGGAGGAAACCTTCTGCTTTGCGTAAATAAAATTATTTTCGAAAATATACCCGTTTGATGCTACTTATGACATCCTCACAGGCAAGAAATAATCTGGATTCGTCAAATTTTGACAGCAAATTAATTATGTTATCAAATATGGCATCCAGTCTTTTTTCTTCCACATGGTTTTCTTCAGAAAGCAAGAGTTCGTCCCTGTCGTTGTAAATCTGAAAGAACATGATTACCAAAAATGTTTTTAGGACGTACTCCATTTTGAAGGTTAAAATAATTTGTAACACTTATAGCTAATTGATATTTTGACTTCATTCATATTCACTGAAAGTTTACACTAAGCCATCTAAAAATCACAGAATGCTTCAGCTTATCATGAATCATACAAAATGTACTGCTTCTATTAGTATACTTACTTCGTCGAACATGCTTGTAGAATACTCGAAGGCAAACAACTGACAGTTACTCATTATTTTCAGTAAGTACGATATATCCAATTCAACGAAATCCGACCTCGATATATCGTCTTCAGTTTCAACAAACAGCATTGCCAGATTCCAGACATATTGAAAACATATGTCTGACGACGGTAAACACGGCATCGTATCATGGTTTCCCGATGGTGGTTCAGTGGAGCGGTATAGAAGACGAAGTTTGTCGTACAGCACTAAGCAAACGGGGTGATCGCAAGACATATTCCGCTTTCTCCCAAAGTGTTTTATTTCACTTTTTCTAGCACACTGGACGAATATTTCAACATTGGATCTTTCTTCATCAGTTAAATTTGAAATGTAGTTTTTCCATTTCTTCTCTATTATGTGAAACAGTGCTTTCTTTGCCTCGCTGTGAGCTAGGATGGCCGTTGTCCAGTTTTTAAACCCGCTTTTACAAATATCTTCATTCGTGTCCGTGAATAATGACAAACTAAAATGTGAAAAGTTGCATAATATTGGCAATCGAATATACTTGATTATTTCATTAAATAAAATGGACAGTAGAAGGCAAAGCCCTTCATTCAGACAAAAGTGTAATGGTGTGTATATTATTACCGTGAATTGTCACAGCTTATACAAACACCTCTGAAAAAAACATGTTTATGAACCATTGTCTTCTTTGGGGCTGTAGGTCGCTGTAAATCTTCCTTTTATAGCTCACAATATTGAGCAAAATAAAGAAAAATGATATGTATTGGAAAGTGGAAAGTGTAAAATTTCCAAGTGTTCGCTGTCAATGTTTCTTTTTTAGATTTTCATCTATCTTGAAGGAACACCATTTAGGTCAAAAAGTCAAAACATATAAAATTTGAATTTCTTATATAAAAAAAACTGTGACACTTAATTTAAATTAATGGAACATTAAAATAATGCAAAACCGTCAACTCGTTCAGGAAAACGCAAGACTGAACTTTTTAAAATATTTTGTTCCATTTTAGATTGACTTAGCGCCAAGTAAATAATATAATACTTGTATTTAACTCGTCTGAGTCTCTTTAACAAGTTAACAAGTTGATATTCACATTATGAAGATTACAAAATTATCAATTGGATTTTAAAGCATTTTTAAACATAATTGATGATATAAATTGCAAAAAAAGTTAACCTTTCTTTTTCTATTGTGTCCATCATCACCGAGGTCGTATTAATTTTCAACAGTGTCCGGTAAACCAAACATAAATACTGACTGGCTTCAACTACTATGGTTTACATCATTCTTACACATTTGAGGCATAGGCTCTGTAAAAAAAGTTAAAATGTATCAAAAACTATTGTTAAAGGCGACGAATATTTTCCTAGCTTATCAGTAAAACTATTCAGGACCAGTGACCTTGACCCAAGACACCTTCCTCTTTAACAAAAATAAGATGGCCATACAATGTATGTTTCTATCAAAGATGGTATACATTAGTCAATAAATATAAATGGGAGACAAGCGTTATAATGTTTGATGATATATTTTTGGTTGGGTTTTACGTCGCACTGTAACACCGCACTTTGGGGTCAAACGCTTTTGGGTCCGACCCCAAAGTGCGTTACGTACTTTGGGGTCAGACCCCTGAGTGCGTTACGCACTTTGGGGTCCAATTTCGAACCCAAAGTGCGTTAAACAGGTACATATGCATTTTGTAACTTCAGGCAAACGACCGCACTTTGGGGTCATAGAAAATTAATATAGGGTTAACGCACGTTTTTCCGTGTTATAACGTCTGCAGAGTCCCGAGGAACGGTTGGTGCCCGAGCCCGGTAGGGCGAGGGCTCCAACAGTTCCGAGGGACTCTGCAGACTTTATAACACGAAATAAACGTGCGTTGACGCTATTATAGCATAAAATTTTAAAACAGATTCGTGATGTATATTATATATAAAACACAAACATTAAATCCTTGTGCTTGAACGGTATTTATCCAACTCTCCATGTTTTACGTATGCGTTTTATTTTTTCCGGGGCCAACAACTTGAGAACCGAACGAAATTTCGAATTTTAATTGATTTAACAAAGTTTAACTTTGGAGATATATCAACTTAAGAAAAACATATCATTACTCTACCAAAGACAAAACAGGCGCCTCAGAAATTCCTAGAATGGTTACAGATTGGCGGTAGGAAAAAGATCAGTGACATCAGATTCAATTTCAGAATCGGTTTTTTAAGCATGCAAGTTTAAAAAAAATCAGGCATAAAACATTATTCTCTCAAAGAAACATAATGAACATTTATCAATATAAACGTCAATAAAACAACGTTTTCTTATATTCATTTTGTGCCTTCCATTTTTGTAAGTTAATCGGGGGATTAAACTGAATGACAGATTCTACTAGTATTTGTTTACATTGACAACTGTCCGTTTCTAAGAAAGGGCGACAACCAAGATAAGCGGCGATGTCTATACGCCGTATTGCCGGCATAATTACTTGAATATGCGACTGAGGCCCTCGAATTAATAATTCCAATATAACAAGAGCGCATGACTCTGGCAAACAGGCCAAATCGTCATTTTTTGTTTGTTTTCTGGGCCCTGCATGTATTGCGCATAGGTAAAACCGGGCTATAACAAGAGCGCGTGACTATGTTAACGCATGGTTTTGGCCCCGTTATAACATGGGCAAAAGAGGGAATAATAGCCGATTTTATGCTATAATGTTCATTATGTTTTAAAGTCAAAGCCAATGGTAAACAAAAAATCAAGGTATTAAAACGCAAAACATGTGCCCTGAATCAAAGTAGAATTAATAGAGATTTAAATGATCTTGATCAGTTAGTGAAGAACTTTCACCAAATAAATCACCATATAAAGAATTTGTTTCAATTATTAAGCTTAAAATTTTTTTCTCTCAAATTTTCCATTTATTTTAAAAAAATGTACACCTTTCATTAACTCCATTGTTTTTTTAGTTTCTTACACATTTTATAAAAATATGATAGTCTTAGCATAGACAAAGGTATGAATTCTTGGTAATCATAGTAAGACATTTAGTACAAAATTTGCCTGATATTATGTTGAAAGAGCCATTTATTTAGCTAAATGTGACATATAAGAAACTTGACTAGGTGTAGATGCGGCTTTAAGTAGTGGTCCGTACAGGCAGTACTAAAAATATCAACTATTTAAATAGTCGCACATTAAGAGCGGAACTTCAGAATAATGTAAAATTCTCACTGGGGGTATAGAGAGGATTGTGGGGTATCGACCCCCCGCGAGGGTTAAAAATAACGTTTTAAAGGCCCATTTTGGTTTTATTTGTTTTTCTTAAAAGCTTTTTATTTTGATGTTCTTCTATATTATCCTAAAAATACACATTATAATTATGTTTAATGTGTATTTTGTGTAATAATACATTAGATAACATATTGAATAAGCCTTATTCATAAACTAACGTTGTGTGCCGATAATTGTTACACATATTTCCATCTCATTACAAACCACTTCCATATACGATAGTATCTGCTGAGGACCCATTAAAATCTTGATTTACCCTATTTCGTTTTATATTATTAAAGTAACAATTCTGAATTAACTAATTATAGTTCTTTTAATGTTGAATGCTGTAGACTGAAAACAGAAGTCAAGCTATGCCAATCTGCCACAACTGGGGAAAATAAAACATTTAAGATGGATTCTAAGATAGATGCCATACTGAAAGAATACATCATACTCGACAATTAAGATCATAAGTGTATATTTAGATGAATTGCACATCCGATTATGGCAGGAATTATTTTCAAACACGTATATCGTAATTTTCGAATAATTACGGAATAAAGTCATCTCATCTCATTCAAAATGGCAGCGGTTTTGGTAATACATAAAACTGACGTAAGTTTGAATATAGAAATCAACACAGTTTCAATTTAAAAATGTTATTATTTTATTTGAAAAATATACAACGTTTCGACTCAAAAGTCTTCATCAGGTATACTTTGTTTACAGGAAATAACGTCAACGTCATATGACGTCAAGGACAACGACGTCAAAATGTAATACATAATTTGGCGTATAAATGTAATATGTAGGATCTTATTAAAAGATAGACAAGAACTATCCTTTACATTTTATTTTAGAATGGCCAATGAAAATTGCCAGATTTAGTTTTGTAATTTTAAAATGACCAATGAAAACTTTTCTTATATTCAGTTCATCCCTGTAAATTTTACAGGAAGTCAAACTGAAAACATAATGGCCTTGGGCCAGAATAACTCGTTGCGGACATATTAAAGTATATATAAGAAAAGTCTCGGTCTATGGTTTTCCTTCAACTTTTTTGCTTCCGAGGGATCACTTCGTTTGCAGATTGTTTGTAAAGTTTCAACAACGCTTGCAAATCAAAGCACAGAAGGCGCTGAATTTGTTTGGGTCTCAGAATGTCACAAAGGTGAAGGTTGTGAGATAATAAAGCAATTTGTACTTTTATTGTGCCACCAATGCTTTCCAGCGTTTTAATTGTAGTAGATTGGCTATAAAACTAATCGTAACACTGATATTCGATCCAATGTTTATTTGACTGAAACAATTAGAAAAAAAAAGATTTGCCTTAACTGGGATTTGTACTCCAGAACTCTCGCTTCCTAAGCGAGCGCGCTAACCCCTCGGCCACGATTTGTACTCCAGAACTCTCGCTTCCTAAGCGAGCGCGCAAAACCCTCGGCCACGGTGGATTTACATATTATCGGCCTGAAGAAAACCATATTATTCTAGTTAGGGTTTGTAACGACGCTAACTGTTGTTTAACACTTGTGTAAAGAATCATGGCGCTTACTATAAGCATATATATCTATAAAAAATTAAACAATATTAGAAATCTTCGACCATTCGGGAATTATTTTGCTTGAAAATTAATCCGCCTGTCATGTGACCATATTAACGCAGTGATCTTCCCTACAATTTTTCGGTCTAAGTGTTACTTATAAAGGGAAGTAATCGCTTCAAAAAAGCGGACTACTTTCGGCACTTGAAATTAACAGCGTTAGGGTCTGAAATTTCGCTACCATTATTTGTTTGGTCTGACGACCCAAACAAATAAAAACTATCGCGGATTTCTTTCTGTTCCTCTACTTTTTAAAGACAAACAAAGCATGAGGTGTAGAGTCAAGCCATGAACGATATCGGCCATTGGAGTCAAAATGTTCCTTGCTGTTTCCACCAAATGGTATAAAATATGGAGGTTTATACATTCACCGCGACATTTTGTACGATTTTGGCAGAAAACCTCGAGAGTTTGTAAGTTGTCCGCGACATTTTGTGATAAAGCGATTTATTGCTGGCTTAAAATGGCCGCAAACGGCCACCTTATATATGATATTTGTAAAACGCTATTTTTTTTCTTTTTAATGAGTGCAATGCTCTGTTACAACCAGTTTTGCAATAAAAACGAGTTTTGCAATAATTTTATTGCAAAAGCAAAACAAATGAATGGTTAAATGTTTTAAACAAATTTTTCAAAAGAAAAAAATGAACAAAAATAAGATTTTCCTTTTTAAAATTTTAAAAGGTATGTCTAGTCACACTTGTTGTTCTGTCGAAGTATGAATTCTTTTCATAAATAAATGAAAAAGTTTTTAAAAAATGTATTCAAAATTTAAACATTTGACGGTCATGGTCTTTTAAAGCTCAAGGTCAAGGCCACTTCAACCTGTCCAAAAGTTGTTTTTTCCACGTATGAAATAATCCATTGATTTATTACAAAGTTACAACTGATAAACCATAAAGGTCCTAAATAAGTCAAGGTTAATTTGAGTTTGATAAACATGAACATCCTGACATAAATATGTTGTGTTTTAGTATGAAGATAATCCATTTATAAATAACAACGGTATAACCAATTACAGATTAAATGTTTCATTAATTTCACCATGGCAGCCGATGTCAAATAATTTGACATTATGGTCAAAGTCATTTAAAGCTCAAGATCAACATAATTTCGACATTTAAGAAGGTCTTGTCAAAAATGTTGTTTTGCAAAAGTATGAAGAAAATCCATTTATTCATATAACAAAACTACAGTCAATTATAGCAAAAAAAAAGTAGAAATTTAATAATCTAACCTTTAAAGTCAAGGTTATAAAAAGGTCAATTTGAGTTTGATCGAGATTGATCCTAAGAAAGTTCTTTTATAATATGAAGTCAATCCATTCAGTTATAACAAAATTATAGCCAGTTTCACAGAAAAAAATGAAAATTTCAATATTTTCACCGTAAAGGTCAACTTCATTTATGAGTGAAGGTCAAAGTATGTCTGGTTAACTTGAAGGAGGTCTTTTCTAAAAGATTATAATGTTAAAGTTTGAAGACAATCAATTAAAAAAATATCAAAGTTATAGTCCCTTATAGCAAAAATCAGCTAAAAACAAGCAGAATTTAGACATTTGACCTTAAAGGTCAAGGTCATTTATGAATAACTGTCAAGGTTAATCTTGATTACTTGAAAGTCTTGTCCCAAGGGTTGTTGTGGCCATATATGAACACAATACACCGAGAACTTAAAAAGTATGATCAATGTACAAGTTTTTGGACGGCAACGCTGACATAACTGTAATAATAGCTCTTTTTTTCTCTTTTTTCTTGTTTTCTTCAAAAAAAAAACGTCGAGCTAAATATTATTCAAGTGAGATATACATTGATCAAGGGTTTAATAAATGTAAGTTTCACGCTTTGGTGACTCATTCTTAATAGAATATTTAGGTGTATTATGTTAAATCAATTTAATCTATTTTATCCGGTATGATTTCATTTCACAACGTTCTATTCGCACGCGGATTTAAGTAAAGATATAAACTGATAACTAAAGTGATAATCAATAAAATTTTATTCACAAACGACCAACCTTTTTAAAGGTAAACAAATTGATTTATGTTCCATTGGTTAGTTTCATTAAAGATGTCTTTAAATATAATCAATATATTTTTTAAAATTACGGAACGTGTACATTTAAACGCAACAGAAAGCGCTGTAAATAAGGCATTATAAATATGTGATTTAAAGAAAGTGAATGTCATTCAATATAGATAACTACCGGGCCTTTCAATGATATATTGTATAAGTACAATGTTTATATTAGGCTTTATTAAGTGACGTAAGAGTTATAGAGTTATTTTGTTACGGCGTATTACATTCAATGTATGTATGTACACACACGTATTTTTTGACAAGATGAGTTTTGATATTCTAACAATTAAACATTAACTGTTCGAAAAGTTTTTACAACATTATAATCAGCAATCAAGCTGATCAGGTTTAATAATCTGTTAAAAAGTATAATAGAAAATGTATTTCTAGTTGAGGTCTCTTGTTAATTTTCGACCAAAATTGTCTCACATAGAGAAAGGACATTTAATATATTATACATTTTTTGATATATTTAGAAATTGTATCTAGAGCAAAACTGAAAATTATTATCTGTACTCCTCAGAATAAAAATTACATGCATTCTGACAAATTCTTTAAAGCTGCAATACAGAGCTGACATTGTGATACATTTCTATGCATTATTCAATCAAATAATCAATATTTATTTATTCGTACTTATTTATTTACTTTTAACATGAGTATGCACAGTATGCTTCTAGAACTATTGTGAATATTGATTTATGGATTGCTGTTTTTCTGTTAATTGATATTGCTTAATGTTAACAGTTATACATTTGACTATCTGTTAATATTGTATCTGGCGGTTTTAACATTACTGTTTTGTTAATTTCATAATTATATGTTCAGCTCTTCTCACTACACTACAACGTCTCATTGTATAAATAATTTTATATTTTGGAGGATAGTACAAGATACAGATACAGAAAGAGGCCCCAATTCCAGAAGCTTCTCCTTGTTCTTTAACGTGCCAAGTGTTTACGCACTCATACACGGGACATCCATTTAAAGTTTCATCCTTAAGACTGGTTAGTAATTTTAGTTGGCCAGACCGGGAATCGAACCAACAATGTCGAGATTAACAAGTCTCGCGCTCTAACCGATTGAGTTATGCGGGCTGACTGGTATTGTCGACCTATAGTTGGTAAATTCCGTAAACGTTACGATCTAATTGTAAATCGATATGAATGTATAGAACAGGTTGTTAAATGGTCTATTTTAAGAATCCCCCTTAGCGTTGTCTGTCAAGGTCTTAAGAGTATAGACGTAAACTCGTAGGTCCGAATCCTGGTTCATCCACTTTTATTTCTTTGAATTATGCTTAGTGCAGAGCAATTGTAATGTTCACGTGGATATGAAATTGGCTCGACGAAATTCTTTCAGACGTTTTGAGAAAAAAAAGAAGCGTTTTATTCGTTCGACAATTATGTTCGGATCTCGGCAAAATATGAAAGCGAAACTATTTTATTCGATAACCTTACAGCCGTTATCGAGACAAGCCCCTGAGCTGTCAGTTTCTACGCATCAACACTCCAAACCAGTGTTGAATAGCGGTCCGGATAAGTATCGCTGACACCGAAATTATTTCTTTAAACGAAAAAAAGGGTCAACGTTCTCCCCTCCTTCCGCAATTTAAAAACGAAACTTCAGACCTTTCGAAAGTTTAGCTGACCTGCAAACATTCAAGATCATTGTATACTGTTAACAATAAGATATAGGTAAATTTGTGAACGGACATCAACAGTAAAAAAAAGACTTACTTTATTTTCCTTTGAAAAAATGTTTAAACCGAAAATACGATCCTTTTTTGTTGCTGCTTTTGCAAATGTAAACAAACAATTAATTCCCTTTCACCTACGCGTGTAGGGGGCGCTCAACGAAAGATTAGAGACGACATTTTGCTTGTTGACAATTCCTTGAGGATCATTAGCAAACTAAGTGTTTGTAAGTTATTATATGTATTTGTTGTTGTGTTATATGCATTCATTTTGTCACACGCATAATTTTAAAACTTTAACACGAGATTTTTTGTCCGCAGATGTAAATCACTTTTGGTTTCGATATTTATTCCAAGTAAGCAAGATCTACTATCCTACACATTGGAGTTTGGGCGTTTTCTTTTAGAAAAAAAAAGTCATTAAAAGATAAAATTTCACCTCAGACTGAAATAGATGATTAATACATGTCTTGTCCGACGTAAAAACATCTATAGATGTAAAGTATTTGTAATATTCATCCTTCTGTATATATATGATTTTCAACCGTGGCAACGTTTTATTTTGTAAATATTGACACACCCGTTAACTTTAGTATAAGTTGAACACGATAACGTTTACATTAATCGGTCGTACCATTTTGATAAAATGGGTTGTTCAAGTTCTCTAATTATTACATTTTGAAAATTTATTGCAAGAGAAACGAATAAACGTAAATCCGAGTAGCGTAGTGATTATAAAGTTCAGATGATGAAGATCTCAGGTTATAAAAATGTTTGTTCTTCTCGAGTTTAGTATATTTTTAAATTTAGGATATATCTTTCATAGTTTGTAACGTAATGTTTACAATGTTTTACACAATTTATACGGTTAAGCAAGATTGAATGCATTTGATTTTTAACAGATTGAACAGATTGAATAGCATTATCAACTTCATTTTGTTGACATTTTTATCAATTTTGGCTCATTCGTACATACATTTTTTCTTCCATTGCTCATAAATCACCCTTATCACAACAGTGTGGTCTATATAATGCGAGTTTGCGAATTGTGTGACATAAACTATTAAATTCGTTCCTGAAATAGCAATGTTGAATGAAATTCACCAGAAACTAAAAATCGAGTCCGGCGCTTGTTGAGAAATTTAAAAAAAAAAAAAACAAGAAGAGAAAAAATATCTTTTCAAGGAATGAAAGCGTAAAACGGGGCCGAAAACCATTCCAGACAGGCTCCTGAGCTGTCACCTCCTGCGCATCAAAACTTCAAACCGGTGTTGAATACCATACGAGCATCACTGAGACAGAAATTATTTCTTTCATATAATGATGAAAAAATAGGGCCAACGTTCTTCCCTACTTCTGAAATCTTACCCTAGATTTATTTATTTTCGAAAATTTAACTGCAAACATTTAAAATCATTGTATAGTGTTAAATAATAAGATCTCGGTAGATTTAAAACGAATATCAGAACATGAAAAGACTTACATTTATTTCCTTTGAACAAAATGTTTAAACCGAAAATACGATGTTTTGATGGGATATACACTTTTGTAAATAAAAAACAAAAACAACTCCCTTCTACATACGCGTATAGGTGGCGCTCAACGAATGGTAACAGACGACCAACAATTAACTCCCTTCTACATACGCGTGTAGGTGGCGCTCAACGAATGGTAACAGACGACTGCCTTGTTTACAAGCATTTGGGGATTATTACACAAAATAAGTATTTGTAAGTTTTTTTATATGAATTTGTGATTATTGTAATGTGATGCATTTATTTTGTCACACGCATAGTTTTAAAATTTTAACACGATATTTATGTCCGCATGTGTCAATCACTTTTGGTTTCGATTATTATTCAAAGCAAGTGGCAATTCATAATAGGGTGGAACTAGATGATTAATAAATGTCTTGTCCGACGAAAAAATTCATCAATGTAAGGTACTTTTAATGTTTATCCTTCTGTTATTTTAAACCTTTGCAATGTTTTATTTTGTAAATATTGACTTTAAGCTGCACGGCTCCAGAGGAGCCAACATATTTAAAGAAAATCAATATCCTAACATTTTAAGAAAGGTTAAAACGTTCAAGATCCAAGTTATATTTTACATGTGCGGTTTAAGGCTAATTTTGTAGTATCTTATCACCATATTTCTACTGCCTTCTTAAAAAGTATGTTAAAACTATAAAGTTGTAAAAATGTTATGTTAACTTTAAAGTAAATTATGATTTTATTTCTTTGCTGAGTAATATTTGCAAATTATTTGTTTGACACTGTGTATTTATTCAAACGTTGATGAATATATACATGTAATGGTACTGATACTTAATTACTTCACCAAAAAAGTACTGGTACTGCAGTACCGAGCTAAAATCTAGTACTGGTACTGGTAATGGTACTGCATAATTTGCCAAGTACTAGTAGTGGTACTGAAGTATTACACCCTTAGTACTGATGCAGCTCTGGTCCGGGGCATATCTCAAAATCTATTTGAGATATCAACTCGAAATGTCATAGAGGAGGAATACATACAAGATTTATAATTCTTCCAGCTATTATCATTGAGTTATTTCCTCTTGTTATTTTCTATACTTACTTTTGTCCGGTGCATTTCTCAAAAAGTATTTGATTTATCAACGGTGGATAGATCTTACTTAAGAGGCGTGCATTGCATAAAAAAATTATTCTCGTTTTAATAATATCTAGTTTTTGCCCTTTGTTAGTTTTCATGTTTGATTTTTATCAAGAAAATAACCTGAAAAGTATTTGGATATTAACTGTATACTTTTTAGATTGATAGATCTCATCGTGGATGAATGTAGTGCAGAAGTATAAGAAATTTTCGCTTCATTATTTTTTGAGCTTTTGTCCTTTGCTTTGTTTCATATACAATTTTGTCCAGACCATAACACATAAAGCTTAACAGACATAGTAGATATATGCATTTAGAAACCTCATCGGAGGAAAGGAATGCAGTTGACGAGACTGACAAATCTCTACACCATATGTTTTAAGTGATTCTCCTTTGTATTTTTTTTGTTTAATTATCGATTGTTATTATATTTGTCCTTGCTTAACCTTTAAGTGTTTATCAGCTCAAAACCTCCTGAGTAAAGCTGTTTATACCAATATTTTGGTAATTGCCCTTTCATCTTGTATATAAAATTAATGTATGCCACGGATTTTCATCTTTTTAATACTTTTCTCTAGTTCAATGGGAGATTTTGCAGTCTGTGACTGCTTCTTGTTGGATAAGGCGTTGGTCTTTTATTACAAACGTTAGAGTTAACCAATCTATAGAAAATCCTCTTTTCGAATTTTTAAAAAATTCAGAGTAAGATAAAGTAAATTCACAGGTTTCACAGCAAACAAAATTTACGAGTGTTTAAACGTGAAAAAGCGGTAAAGATATAAGGACTGTCTAAATCTTAACTCAATAAATTAGATTTTCGATTTATTGCTCTTTAATCTTTTCTGATTTTATTTTATTGAGTTTATCAATTTCTTTCAGCATATGTTTCTTACATAGCCAAAGACCTATTAATCATTTTATTTTGACATTAGGGCAAAAGAGTTTGTTTTTAGTTTTTGTATGACAAAATAAAAAGATCGGCGGGCCTAAAATGGTTTGCTGATATTGTTTCGCTATTATTGTTTTTTTTCCCCATTTAAGAAATATGCAATCTATTAAAGTATATTGTTCGAAATATTTCTATAGGTTTAAAATGACAACATGAATTTGGAGTTGAGGTACCTCATTTCAGTTTAACATATTCAACCATGCATTGTGCTTGTTTGAACTACAATATCGTTTTATAACTTGTTTTACTCCCAGGGTCGTGTAGTTGATGTACTATTCATTAAAACGACAAGCGTTCGTTCTGTTTAACCTTAAAGAGGTAATTATCTCGGTAGTAAATCCATAACTTGAAAATGGAAAAATGAAGATCAGTAGATTAAGTAGATGTATCGCTTAAATGTGACAAGTATATATATATTGCAATAATGTGTTGAAATGGAATTTGACAATGATACTATAAATGGATGCATAATATAAATATCATTAGAGAAAGTTATAGAAAAGTTTGAAAAAGTGAACATGATCATTAATATTATGAAAGTTAAGATAGATAGATTGCAATATGAAGTGAGTAATTATTGCACTTATTTGATATGCATGACAATAAATATATTTTGTAGGATGTCAATAATAGGAAACTTTCGTCATTTATGTACTATATTTTTGCTGTGAAAACAAATAATCATCCAGGCTGTGTGTGTGATTTCAGACTTGGATCAAATTCGTAAAATGACGTTCAAAATTGGAATAGCTGAATGTATTTTGGCCTAAAATGACCTCAAAATGATGAATTCTTTACAAAATTGTTCTACCAAAGTCGAGTCCTATAACATTTTTGCGCCCTCACTATACAGGGGCATTTTGATTTGCCCTTGTCCTAATCCAGTTTTATTAGAGTTATTGCCCTTGAATTAGTACAGATTGACAATTTTCAATTTGTGTCGCGCGTAGTTCAGAAAGTATATGACCTAGAGTCATTAAACTTTTCAGGACTGTTAGTCACCATGTGTAGTTAAGTTATATAGCTGCGGTTCGGAAAAATTAAGATATCAACATTGGAATAAGGAATGTCCAATATAAACAGACCATTCGTTCATGCACATATTACTACTATAAATCTTTTCTAACCTCTTTAATAGGAGACTTAAACGCCCTTCCAATTAAAATCAAGCATGCTCCTACGCTTGCCGCTTTTACGGGCAGTCTTAAATGTGAAGTAACAAATATGCCGAACTTAAGCGAAAAGACCAAATAATACATACTAGACTTCGAACCAAATGTAGCTATCTTGCATCTGATTTAGTCGACAAGAATATTGCCGAGTCTCAACTGTGTGATTGTTGAGGAGTTGAAAATACCTATCATTTCTTCTTTATTTGTCAAAAATATGCTCATCTACGTCCCTATCTACTAAACAATATTTTCAACTATTGCACTCAAACTGTGCATGTTATTCTTTTCCTGTGGACTCCAACAGCGCACCGCTGTTCATAAATTTATAAGAGATGGTAAAAGATTCTAATGTAACATACTAGTTGTCATAAAATATAGTGTTCACATAACTTCTTTTTTCATAAATGAAGTCTTACCAAAACGATTGTAAACGATAATTTTATATAGAAACATCCTCTTATCTCTATCTTTCTTTTTATCATTTTCCATAAATTACTTACATATTTGTATTTTTTTTTAATTTTAAAATTTATAATTGAATTTTCATTTCCTTTTTTATAGGGTTTAATTAAAAAAATAATAGCCATGTATTATATGAACGTATACATTTTGTTAAAGAAGACTACCATGAGCTATTGCAGCCCTCGGTCCAATTCCTTTCTGCTTAAATCGTAAATCATAATTATATAATTATATTGAATTAAAATTTGTTTAAACCAACGTTGGAAAAATAAGATGTTTTTTTTTTGCCCTAATCACTAAGGGGAGAGTCATATAGAATTTCCTTTGTCTGTCCCTCTGTCATACTGTCCTGCAGACAGTTGAAAGTAGGGTCACCTGTGGCATATGATAACATTTCTAGTTATATGTTTATTTATTAACAAACAAAAACAAAAAAACAACAACAAAAAAAAAAAAAAAAAAAAAAAAAAAAAAAAAACACACACACAAAAAACGCGCTAATTATTCTTTAACTATACTTTAGTGGAATTTAGATTTCGGAAATACTGCATTACACTGTTATCATGAACTACCTATAGGTTGCATAGATAAATCATAAATGTATGATTTCGTCTAGCCTGCATTAATGGTAACAAATTTTACATTTGTGCCATACGGATTTTGTAAGTGCCTTACTAAAGCCGTTATTAACAATTTAAATGTTATTTCAAATTTCTTTTTCAAAACTGTTTTTGTATACATTGCTTTCAATTTATACAGAGTTATAAGCTAAATTTCTATATGCGTTACAGGTTTATCCTCTACCGAACAACATCCACTTCCGGATAAAAACCGCTATAGAAACTAATTCTTCATTCTGCAGTATTGTTACATTCCGACTACACTACATTACAATATTGTTTGCAAAGATCTTTAAATGCTTTAAAAGTTTCAAATAGTTCATTTTCATGAAATAATGCATTCCTTTAAAAAAACAAAAAACAAAAAAAAACAACAAAAAAACAGTTAATTGATAAAATCATAGTATATACTTACGCGTCAAACTTAGCATACACGCATGCGCATGCAAGCATGGATGAATACATCAAAATTATATGAATAAGACAAAGCATCTTAGATAGATATTTAATCAAATAAAATTCCTGATTTATATTTATGCAATGAAAATGTCCTAAAAGGATGTACAAAATGAGTATACAGGAAATGTTTATTGCCTGATTCAGTAACGGGTAAAATTAACGATTCGGCAACTCAATCATTCGACCCATAAAAATTTGTCGAACTAAGGATATTGACGATTTAGCCTGAGCATGGAGCTAAAATAAACATATGCATTTCGACTTTCATATAATTTTGAAAAGTTCCGTACGGCTAGACAATTCAATGTGTCCTGGATAGCCGTATGTGACTCACGTACGGCTAGAACTTTTGGCTAGCCGTACGGGTCCGTACGGCTAGCCATGCACTTTCTTAATGCAAGCGGTACCAATGTTGGGGAAACTGTAGACTCCTT